GTTGAAGAGGACAACCACATTTGGTAAGTGAGGAGGCCCCTCAACATTGAATGAGAAATGGACGTAGGACCTTACCTCTGGGGTCTTCATGAGCAAGTTTGTTCTAACTCACCATTCCTGTAAGCCTGGCCTTATATGTAAACATTCCAGTAATGCTTCCAACCCACTGCCTCATTTTAGTTATTCCCACACCATTGGAGTAGAAGAACACATAGTTCAGTTGGTTACCTCATTCTTTGTTTCCCTAATCTGTGTCTCAGCTGCTCAATAGAAAAGCTGAAGCAGGTTACACACATAGAATCACAATGTAGAAAAAGCAACATTTAAAAAAATGTAGTAATAAGAGGGAAAGAAAAATGAGGGGCGAATGTTCTGATAGAGCCAGGGAGAGTTACTCAATGGAAATGTATGTGTAGGGTCCTGCATATTGAATAAAAGTGGTTCAGGTGTTTTAAGATAAATTTTCTCATGTTAAGGAAGTATTCCATTGCATCCTTATTTATTAGTTAAGAATTGGTGTTGAATTTGTCAAACGCCTTTTTAGCACCTGTGGAGATTAGCCTTTTTTTTTCTCCTTATGTTCATTCCTGGAATAAACTACGCTTGGCCGTAATGTTTTGTTGTATTGTGTGTGCCAGATTCTGCTTGTCGACGTATTTTCCAGGATTTTTTGCATTTATATTTACGAGTGAGTATTGTTAAAGAAAAAAATGACTCAGTAGCCCTTGTTAAAGATAATGAGGAAGACTTTTTATTCAGGGGGCACTACTGTGACAGGGGTAGGGGCCGCTGCAGTGGGGTCTTGCAGTGGGAGAGAGATTGGGCTCCACTCTGAATACGACAGGAAAAGTGGGGACTCACAGCCAGGAAACAGAGTGGGAGTCAGTAGATGGAAAATTACTCAGAGGAAATATCAGGAGTGAGGGGGGATTCTGGCTAAACTGACCTCACAGGTCCTTGCTGAAGACAGGCCAGAGTGATCAGATGTCTCTGGCGGATGGTGGGGGAGGATGAGGAACCAGATCAGATATTGAGGGTGATCAGATATTGAGAACAGGAGATTCTGTCTAAACCATCTTAGCACGATTCTTCCTAAAATGCACAATGCAGAGGTGAACACAGAAGCCCAAAAGTCAGGGCCTAGTTGAAAAAAACCTCAGAAGAGCCTGATTAGGGGTCAAAGAGAGAATCTTTGTCATTATGGTCCATAATTTTCTTTTTTATGAAATTTTTGCATTTTGGAATCTGTGATACTTGCTTCAAAAAAATGAAAGACTTGGAACATTTTCCTTCCTTTTAATATGTCCTCAGGACCTCCTAGGACACAAACTTCTTCTTTCAAGAAATCCTCCTCCTCATTGTGACGGCTGGCACTACATTAGCGTTTGCTGTGTGGTAGGCAGTGCTGTAGGTTCATCAGCACTAAGCACCGTATGAGGCCAGGTACTGGGATTTTCCCCATTTTGCAGACGAAGAAACTGAGGTGCACAGACGTTAGGCACCTCCCCTTGTTCTAGTAACTGGTGGAGCAGGAATTGATTCCAGGCTCAGAGTCCAGGCTTTTATGCCCAGAAATTTACTTTGACATGAAACCAAATTGTTAAAAAGATGGCAAGGGTAAATACATTGTTTTTTTCAAACCCCTTACCTAATTTCCTTTAGGATCATCTGGCTGGATTTCAGTAATAGACTTCCTTAAACAGTAAACTGTCCCTAACCTCCACCATAGGTCATTTGAAATATTAAGCAAATTAGATTTAATTAGTCTGCAACACTGTATAGGCTTAACTACTAGGAATGGAAAGTTTGTTAAGGTTCTTGTATTCAACACAATTTTCTTAAATTGACATTTTAATTATATATGTTCTCTAAATGAAGAAGTAGGATATTTTGGCATGTGTTGCCAGAATTTCTGATCAGGCTACAGTTTATGTATTTCCAGGCTGCTACAAATCCACAAAGAATTTTGTAGTGCATAACAGAAATAGAAATCTTGTTTTTTAGTTGTTTTATTTTTCCACGTCTGTGTTCCCAATAGAGTGCAGAGATTGCTGAAATACATGAACATTGGAAGTTTTTAATGAGCAGTGAGGGCCAGCATATGGACCCAGATCCTGACATCTCTTCCAGTTTGGAACTGGCTGTGACTGCCTATGCTTTATGCAAAATGACTGTGATCATAACAAAGTTACTTTTAAATTGTTCATATAACCTGTCATATGTCTTGGATCGTGGCACTATCTTTGGCTTCTATGTATGTTTATTTTTCTAGTATTTCAGGTCTTTTTTTTTTAAACCACTGAGGCATAGTTGAATTAATGTGTGTCAAGGAAGGAAATAAAAGGCTGGCTCTAAGAGACTTTGCCACAAGGAGAACAATCTAAGAAAAATAGGGATTTATCTTTGTTTTCTAGAAGTCAATTCCAGAGATTTAGTAAAAGGGCATTTTTGGAACTAGATTAAGAGAGCTACATAATTTGCAGGGCTGAGTACAAAGTAAAAATGCAAGGCCCAGTGCAAAATAAAAATGCAGGGTTCTTGGTTCAAAAGCAGGGGGAAAATTGTCATTAAAAGTACTCAAATATAAAATTTTTTTCTTTCTTCCACAATTTCTCTCTCAATTTGTCGTGGTGTTATTTTATTTGCTATTTAATGTCATTTAGGGAAAGAAAAACAAAAATTTTAAATTATTAGCATGAATTTTACCATTTCTCTTTATATTTTGCAATGCTAGTTTTAAATGCAAATATAAGAGCCTTTAATGCGTAAGCAGAATCACTGAAATTACAAAATTTGTATTTTGTCGTTTATACATGCATATATATTTCATTCTTACCAGAATATTGGAAACGCACAGAACAAACACAACTTTTTACTTCACTTCTTGATACATGCACATTCTACCAATACTCTCTACCTTCAGCTTAGGAAGACTGAAAAGAAGAGGAACGAAGGGATCTCTAGCTTTCCCTTTCCTTCTGCGTCATTGTTTTCAGCATAAGTGGTTGGCTAACACAGGAAGTAACAGGAATAAGAAGGGATATGGTAGGATTCCTTGGTCATTGTGTTTCTTAAAATGCCATTGCCTTCTTTGCACAGAAGCAGGTTCTGGTTGGAATGGGAAGGGTGGCCTCACAGAGTCAGTGTCCCCTCCACGCCCCCTTACTCAGTCACAGATGTAATGTCTTACCTTGCTCTACCTTTGAGTCTTGCTGAACTCCCACGCAGCTTGGGTCCTTGGGAGCACTATGCTAAGGGGGCACCTTGAATGCTATATACAGACGTGAGTATTGTTCCTAGCTCCTCGGCTCACACGCATGCTCCCTTGTCCCATCAGACTTCCCTTACAAAACATAGATTCAAAGATGAAAGTATTAAGAGTTTCAAGATGGTGACAGCAGGGTATTAAACTAAGCAGGGGACCCTTCTGACCATGGGACCCTGTGCCACTGTACACGTTGCATGCCCATGAAGCTGACCCTGCCTCAGTGACCTCACCTACAAATTGGGGTGATAATAATACGTGTCAGGTAGGATTGCCATGAGGAGTAATTAAGGTAGGAATGTAAAGTGCTTAACAAGTATCCTGCACATAGACAGTACTCAATACATGGTAGGTAGTTTCTTAATACCTATGTTGCTCTATATCCCAAATAAAATCAGGAAATGGTTATTGTAGTCCTACTGGGAAACTTGATTTAGGTTGAGCATTCTTTATATAAGCTCCACTAAGCAAGATATGCTTTCAAACACAATGAATGCTCCTCTATCTGTGTGAGGGTCGTGAGACACCAACACGACAAACAGGCAAAGCTCTGATGTCAGTTCAAGAGGTTGCCTGGTTTACACCATGCAGTGGTAATTCCTGCGGCAGGTTGTAGCAAATGGGCTACATGGGGTGTCCAGAAAAAGACAAAGGCTCAAGTCGTTAAAAGTAGTTGCACTGCAAGGTTGTCTCTGGCTGAGAATGAGGTCAGCTCTGTGAGGTCTTGAGCAGAGAAGCCTCTGTTCCAAACTCATGGAGGGGAGATATTTGAACCCCGAATGAAAACAAAACAAGGATGAGGTGTGCCTGAGCAAGTAGGAGTGAACTCCGGTGACGACCACATCCAAGTGAAATCAGCTGTAGAATGGGTTTCAGGATCCACAGGTACTGATTGATTAATCAATCAATTAATCCAATAGAGCCGCTTTTAAGATGCTATTTTCTATGCCCAAAGTGTATTTGGCTTATTATATATATATCTAAACCAACCATTCATCTTGAAAACCCAATTTAATAAAAGAATATTTGATAAACTATTAGCCCCTGATTGAGTTACCACATACTGATTATTTAAACATCATTTTATTTAAAACCTAAATATTTTTCAAAAAGATTCTCTATTAATTTATTTTCCATTCGTATACTTTAGGTGAAAACTATACCAACCTAAAATGGTGACTTTGTTTAAAAATTGTTCATGAAAATGACTGGTTGGATACGATGATAGGCTGATAATATGCAAACAGGATAAGAAATAGGTAAAACATTATAAATATTCATATTCCCAGAAAAGTGAGCAGGTTCAGCTCGCACAACAGGTGAGACTTGTGTCTTATGCAAGTGTGATTTTCCTTCTCCAGTTTTGAAGCATCAGGCTGACCCTCTGCGAGGAGAGGGGTAACAGAATAGATATGATCTGATTTTCTAAAAATCTCTTTGCAGAGAAAGGGTTGATGAAAATGTGGCTAAGAATCTTAGCATGATTCTTTTAAGACCTCTTCCCCACCCCTGTCCATTTGGTTTTGAAAATCTGGATTTAATTTTCATTTTAAAAGCTTAATGGGCTGAACTGTCTCAGGAATATTAACTTTCCGACTTCCCGGGTCCTCTCACCAGTGGTCCTGTGGTTAGGATGAGTAAAGCGGGGAACACTGAGTCAGGAATGGGTGTGCTGTCATGAACGCTGCTCTCCTCAGAGCATTTTACTGATAAATAATGTCATTATTGTTTCCAGATGCGGAGCCTAAATATCTGATAGTTGTGAGACCCGCTCCTCCTCCAAGTCGAAAGAAATCATGCTCAGGTATTTTCGTTGATTTCTTTTTTCTTTTATTAACTTTAAACCATGCCTTTTCATCTCTTCTCTACTCCTGGAGATCCAATGCCCTGGGGATGCCTTAGGAATAGAGATCAGAAGATGCGCTGCGTCAACAGCCAGCCCTGCTCGTGAAGTGGCCGAGCCTGGGGCAGAGATTGCCTGGAATCTCATGCCAGCACCACCACTGCACTGTTTAGCAGGGATGTAGGCAAATTACTGCCCCTCTGTGCCTCCCTTCTGCTGCGTAATATGGTCTTGGTGAGGATTAAATGAGTTCATGGGCATGTGACACGAGGCAGGGCCTGGCCCATGGCATCTGCTCATTTAGTCAGCGCCCGCCCGCTGGCCTGTCTCTGTTTCACAGTGTGTGAACTCACGCCTGCTATCGTGTCTCTCACACTCGGATGGCAAAGTCTGATGTCTAACCTTCGCCGAAGGAGACTGTTTCCATTTCAAAAGCATAGCTCATTGATATGTGTGTTAGGTGGGTTAGAACTCAGGTTTTGGTTACCCTTTATCTCTCCCCACCAAATATCTTCTGTTTAGTCCAACACAGAGCAAGCACTCCTTTCATAAAACCGCAGTGCAATCCATCTTCCCAGGGCGAGGAGACTTGAAACAGGAAGGCAGATACCTGTGAGTAAATGAGTAGAAAGAGTTCTGCATGACTAAAGGAAGATTAAAACCCTACATTGTCCCAATTTCACTACTAACATTTCCTCTCAGAGCAAACAAGCAGCCACTGCTCTCAGGAAGGCCCGGCAGAAGCTGTGAACATTCTTTCCCACCTGGTCACATCTTCCTCTCTCTGTACATGGAGTGGATCACAACGATCTGCTTTTCTTTTTCACGTTCTAAGGTGAACCGTTCTCAGAGTAATTATTTCCTAATCATACTTGTCTCTTAGAGGACACTGGGTGCCACACAAAAAATGATCATTTGTTCATTTGTTTATCTTTCTAAAGCAATGAAATGGGTAGGAGGAGCACATAGACCTTCAAACACACTGAGCAGAAGGGCCCTTTGCAGCTCTGTACTTTGTCTACTGGACGTGTCAGTCCAGCCTGATTGCCAGAAATCAGTTGCCACAATTCCCTCCCCTCTTTCTGTTGGTTTCCGCTTCTTTTAAGACAAGCAGTAAATGGTCAAGCATTTTGAAAAATATAAATTCCATTTCTGGTCTATATTATCCCAAAGTGCAAGGGAAATTTCAATCAGTCCTTACAACTTATTAATGATAGTTGTCCAGGCAGCTTTCCATACACTTTAAAATAAATGTACTCTCAATATTGCAAGACTCTATTTCAAAATATTTACCGATAAAGTTAAGAGGCATGAGTGTGGTTCCATGAGATTCTGGCTTCATATTGACTGAACTGTCTCTTAATACAAATATGATCATGATACAAATATGAAAATATATAAGGAAAGTCAAGAGAGTGATTACCCCTTAGTAGCACTTTATAACTTCATTCTATTTCATTGGGGATCTTCTCTGACACCGGCCTTAGAAATTATTTTTCGCTTTGTGATGACCAGCTCAGGAAATTGTTTCATCTTGCTCAGGATATAATACCACACCTTTCCTTTTGGGCAACGGATGTAATTTTTGTTTTCGTAATCTGCATTTGAGAATGATGTAATGACTAATGTGATAGCTTCCACATAAATTTTATGTGGAACAGAAATTTATGTTCTGCCACATGATCTTTATGTCTAACATCTGCCACATAAATTTTAATTTTGTAATCATTTTTATTTCAAGATACGAAATTAGTGAGGTAATTATTTGATGTAATTACCTCGTGTAAGCCTTAGGTCCCTTGGAGAAAGAAAAATATATCTTTTTCCTCTCAGTGGCATTATCTTTATACGTTTGAGCTACGCCAATGATTTAGTGAAAAGAAAACTAGATTACAAGTCAGGACACCTAGATTTGGGTCTGGACCTTGCTCTCGGTGTGACTTTGGACACTCTTGAAACTTCTCTGAGCCTTGTTTTTCATGTGTAAAATGAGATAGTTGTATTATGTTAGTGAAAATCAACTCAGAGGTAGAAAAAGGAAGATCAGAACCATTTCAGGGCTTTTTCAAACTATCTGTGCCTCCTACCCTTGCCCCGGATTCTAACCGGCCCTCCTTGGGGGCCAGACTTGGACCCTTTGAATCACAATCATACAAGGTACTATTACAGGTGGATCTGGAAAAATTTATGGAGAGGGATAAACGCATGTGTGCAACCAAGTAAACAAGAACTACCCTTGAGAATTATTTCAAATCTTTTAAAAATTCAGCTATGTTCCAATGAGGCAATTTGCCACCAGTAGGTTATGTATATCCTGGGCTCAGAAGGTTTTTTTCACTGGAATAACAACTTGCAGAACTTAAATCTAACAGAAGCAGTAAGCATGGCACAATTCTCAAGGACATTGGTTCAGAGCTCCACTGAGCTCACAGATGGGGAGCTTGCTACCCACTTGTTCCCACTGCATTAGATTAAGATGATACAAGTTCTTCCTGTAGCAAATACAGCATACATAGTCTCATGAAGTGAAAGAAGGAATCCAATGGAAATACAGAGCATATATGTTCTGTGTTAGTTCTACATAGTTTTATTAGATCCCCAATTGGATTTTTATTTTATTTACTCTGACTTTTTATGAGCCAGCATTAGTTTCCATGGTAAAGGATTTTTCCTCCTCTTTTTCACTGTTCCCCATTTCTGCAGTTTCAAATATTTTTGAAAATGCAAATGTTTGCCCCCTGCATACTTGGAAGGAATCTACAGTGGTTTATCAGCATCACTCTTGGCATTGCCCAAATCCAGTTAGTCCCATCAGAGCAACTATGCTTCCTGTATAATTCCTACTCTCCCAGCATTATTAAAAATTGTGCACATTTTCCATTTAGATACTCACTGTAAAAAATATGCTTATTGCAATGGTATGACAGGGATTTCACACTTGCAAATAGGTTTTTTAAAAAAGAATATAACCTACAACTTAGATGGTAAGCTTTCTTTTCTCTTCTTAGATGCTATTTCATACTAATTCACAGTCCCAGGAAAAAAATAAGCATGCTTTTATTTTGTCCGTAAAAGAAATGAAGTGAGTGTGTGTATACATACACACGTATGTGTATGTGTGTGTGTGTGTTTATTTATTTCACTGGGAATAGCCAAGGCCTCCGTATTCATCCTTGACCCACAAGAAAATAAAAACTAGGTATAATTTGACACAGTTTATGTACATACATTACACATACATGTATACACATATACATACACACATAAATCTCAAAAAGGATATTTCATGCTTAAATTCATGGGCAAAATATTAGTAATATTTGTGCACTATCTGAAAAGGAACTTGATGCTTTCATACTCTTCATTATCTTGCCAAGTCATCTTTATGCATTTTACCCCAATCATGAAAATATACTCAGTGTCCCCAGAATTAACCTGTGTGTTACCTCCACAGGTAAAGCCCGCTCTCGGAAACCTCTCCAGCTGGTTGTCGGCACTCTGACACCCAGCTCGGTCTTCCTGTCCTGGGGTTTCCTCATTAACCCACACCACGACTGGACGCTGCCGAGTCATTGTCCCAATGACAGGTAATTCATCATCATGAAAGACTGTATTTTTCATCTGAAAATTAGTGCTTGCTTTAAATAGTATTTGTACATGCTTTAGAAGGATGTATCACTATCAGGAGCATCAGCTGTTAGCTGTGCAGCCTGTCCTGGGTGTGAGGGGAGGAAGATACTAAGTAAGGGTCCCTACCTTGCGGGAGTTATCATCTACCCAAATAGAAAACACATGCAAGCGCTTTTTTCTTTCCAAGAATAAACTAGAAAGGAGAATGAGCCAAATAGCAAGTGGGGAGTATCAGTGAGAAGTGTAATAAAAGCTCAGAGGACGAGGCTGAAGGCAGTCAGGAAAGACTGTTAAATGTTGGAAAGGTTGACCTTGGTTGGAAAAGGATGGATCTTTATTCTGACAATGGAAGAAGTGTTTGGAGCAGTAGTTCTCAAGGTGTGGTCCCTAAACCAAGCAGCTTTAGCATCAGCATCACCTGGGAACTTGTCAGAAATGGAAATTCTAGGGACCCCACCAGACCTACCGAATCAGAAACTCTGAGGGTGGGCCCAGGAATCTGTGTTTCAACAAGGCCTCCAGATGATTCTGGTGCCCGCTAAGGCTGAGAATCACTGGCTTAGAAAACTGGAGAGATACACACGGGGAAGATGTAGGCAGAGGAAAGCAGAGAGTTGGAAATGAAGCTATCGTCTTTCTTGGCAGAACAAAATAAGATAAATCTAAATGTATTTTTAAACTACCGCCATTCATCCATCCGACACATGTATTTGAAACTGGCTATGAGCCAGGCACTGTGTTAAACACTGGACCATGACTCTAAATTGGTTATAAAGTGGTATTTGTTTATTATAAATATTTACCACATTAGCTTCAAAATCCAAATCTTTGTTTATGGCAAGCACTCAAAATTTTCAAGCTTCACGCAAGGCATTTTACTTAAAAAGTTTTTTTATTTTACATGGACTCAAATGATTTTTAAATTTTAGAACTTGCTTCATTGTTCTTTTTAACAAAAAATTTGTTTATGGAGGTATAACTTAAACCCAGTAAAATGCACAGATCTTAGTGTACAGCTTGATCAGTCATGAAAAATGCATATAACCATGTACCCTATACCCCTTCAGGGAATAGAACATTTTCATCACCCCAGAAAGTACCTTCCTCAAGAAGCAACCACTGATTTGATTTCTACCACCACAGACTAATTTTGCCCACTCTAGAATTCCACATAAATGGACTCATACAGTGTGTTCTCTTTTTGTGTCTGTCTTCTTTCATTCAGCATGTTTTTTAGGTTCATTCATGACATTGCAGCTACCAATAGTTCATTCCTTTTTTATTCCTGAGTAATATTCCATTAGGTGAATATTCCAGAATTTATTGATCCATCCTTTTGCTGGTGGACACCTGAATTGTGTCTTGTTTTTGGTTATTATGAATACAGATTTTATAAACATTTTTGTATGAAACTTCTGTAGACATATCTTTTAATTTCTCTTAGATAAATAGCTAGAAGTGGACTTGCTGGGTCACAGGGAAGATGTATATTTAACGATGTATATAGGTACACATATATATGTATGTGTATATATATGTATATTTTTGGCCTAACTTTTCCATTTACACTCCCACAAGCAATGTATGAGAGTTCTGGTTTCTCCATATCCTCACCAACATTTTGTGTCGTCAACATTTTTCATTTTAGCTTTTCTAGTGTAGTTTATATACTAATAGGTACTAAGGATATTGATTACATTTTCATGTACTTTTTGGCCATATATCTATTTATTGTAGTGTTTTATTTAATTTTATTTGTCTAAATTGAACTAAAAAGAAATACCTTTAAAAATATTTCTACGTTCTCAAAAGTACCTTTCATATGACTTTGATTAGGAAATCTAGACTAAGAAAGAAAAAAATTAAACTTTCCTTCACATTTCCATAGTTCTGAAGGAAGAAATTCTTGGAAAAGGGCATGCAGAAGACATTGCTAAAACCAAATTTTAAAAAAAATAATTTTGAGCTATTTCAAAGAATCTGAAATATTCTTTATTTCATGCACCGTTAAACCATAATGTGTTTTGTTTGGAAAATGATCTCCTGAAAGAACATGCTTTCTTGTGATAATTCCAGTTTCTAGTGAATTGGTCCAGGGTGCCAATGCTGAGAAAACAAACATTTATGGATTGACTTCTTTTTCCTTTTCATCTTTTTAGCCTCTTATTTAAAAGAAAGGAAAAAAAGAAAAGGGGGAGGGCGGGGAGGGGGGAAATTTGGTACTCTTGTAGCAAAACGCAGCTGATTTTCATGGTTTCTCCACTTGCTTGATAAACCCAGGAGGTTCAGTCACCTGCAGATTCATGTAGCATAATTTGGACATGTTCTCCTCCCACTTCCTCCAGCCTTTCCCTCATTTCATTTGGTCCTATTGACCCCTTCACGAAAGAATTTGCATGATGACTGATTCTAATTGGTAGACGTTGCCATGGTTTGGCAGCACAAGAAGACAATGAAGATGGAGATGGGAGAGGAGCAGATGGCCCAGTAGAGCTAGGATTTTAACCAAAGCAGTTGACTTGAAGGCCCCAGCCACTCAGACCACACATGCACCTCCCCCTCAGCCCTTCCTCACACACCCTGGCTCTGCTCTTCTCATCAAGTAAATGGAGTCATGCCCATCACATCTCAATATTCAAAATCAATAATTCCACCTAGAATGAAGTTTTTTAAAAAGTTTAGTGTGCCAAGATGCTTGCCAACTTTAAAACCTCAGTGAGTAGGAGAATCAAGGTATCCTTGACAGACAGAGGGAACTGTTAGGCCGTGACTAAAAGGGAAGAATTAAATGGTAATGACTAAAAAGAAGCATTTGGAGTACTTGGGGATTTCATTTACACATGCCTCCTTTCTCCCTGGTTAGCACAGTTAATAAAGAGCTGACATTTAAAATCTTTGTGGTATCTGAGAAAAAAATAGTAGACTTGGGCCGGCCCCGTGGCTTAGCGGTTAAGTCCACGTGCTCCGCTGCTGGCGGCCCGGGTTCGGATCCCGGGCGCACACCGACGCACTGCTTCTCTGGCCATGCTGAGGCCACGTCCCACATACAGCAACTAGAAGGATGTGCAACTATGACATACAACTATCTACTGGGGCTTTGGGGAAAAAAAAGG